TCCTATCTGTCCATCCCTGCTGAACTAGCCAGCAAAGATAGGCAGTCATTGTCTTATTCTTATTTTGACCCCCACAATTATCAGCCCAAAGATAGGTAGTAGGCTTCATCCTGCCTCCAGATGTTAGGAAATAGTGGAGTAGAGATACTACTTGGTTAGGACCTTTTGGTTGCTGTGCCTCAGTATAGAGTAGGTGATAATGCTTATTATAAGACTTGTTCTCATCTACAATACCAAAAGAGTATAACTTGAATGGAGAAAAGAAATACCATTGACTAGGTTGCTGAGGGAGCTTTGGTATCTCAACCACCTGTTGGAAGTCAAACGAATAACATGCTGTATCTTGTGCATCTGATGATGCTTGCAAGATAGTTGTTTCATAAAAGTCTCGACACTCACGATACTCTTTACGATGCTGATCCCGTTCTGTCTGAGTCTGTAGATGTCTCTCATCCTGCTCAACCTCACTCTGAATTCTGTTCTTCCCCTTATGAGATCTGAGTTTGCCTTTCAGTATAGTACAATGATCACAAATATCTTTTGCCGCAGTTCTGATATGCATCTGCTTAAATCGAGGACTTGTTTTCCAATACTGGCGAAAGCTTGTAAGAGATATTGGTTGTTCTAAGCTTTCCTCATTAAGTTTAGTATGTAAAATACGTAAAGAGAAAAAAGAAGGCAGTAAATTTTGATTATCCAGCTCTACTCTGGTAATCATAGTCCCATCTTGTTTATATCTCTTGTAAGATCTTGTTGCTACAGGCTCACCATAGTCCTTTTCAATTTGCAAAAGAAAACTTTCTATACGGTCTTTTGCCTCTTTAGACAAGCTTCTATTCGCAGGCTGTGCTGTGCGCTTATGAATTGGAGGAGAAACTGACTTTCCTAATTTTAGATTACCCAATAATGTACGTACTTGATACTTGCCCAGTATCCAGTACTAGCAGAAAAAGGAACAGCAAACTTGACCAACAAAGGGGATTATATACTTATTTCTCGATATGCGCTTACTTGGATCTCGTTCACTATCTTCCATTTCTAGAAATGATTTCTTGTTGTAGTTTCTAGTTCCATGTGGTTTCACGAATCTCATAGTACTAGCTATAAGACAGCTTGCCAGCAGTTTCCGCTGCTTGATTGTCATTGCACAATTACCCTTCATCCAGGTAAACCATTGTGCATAACAAGCTTGTTTAGAGCAATCTCTCTTACAGGAACAAGCCTTGTCAATATTTGAAAGATGGACTGAGTACTTATCTAATTGTATAGAGCTGT